TATCCAGCTACACTGCTGAATTTGTTGATTAATTCAAGGAGTCTTCTTGTGGAGTTCTTGGGGTCTTCCATATAAAGTATCATGTCATCTGCATATAGTGATAGTTTTACTTCTTCCTTTCCTATCCTTACTCCTTTTATTTCTCTGTCCTGTCTAATTGCTCTGGCTAGTGGTTCCAGAACTATACTGAACAGGAGTGGTGACAGCGGACACCCTTGTCTTGTTCCTGATTTTAAAGTAAAACCTTTCAGTTTTTGTCCATTGAGAATGATGTTAGCTGTTGGATTGTCATAGATGGCTTTGATCAGGTTAAGGTAGAGGCCATCTATTCCTATTTTTTGTAGAGTTTTTATCATAAAGCATTTTTTTAATGATCACATTCATAGAGAATTTGTACCTGTACATGATATAACTTAGTTCTCCCCCACCCACACACCAGCATTTTGTAAATGATCTCATGGGTTGGAAATTTTTCCCCTAATGATTTCCATAAGTTAACACGTTCCCACCAGCTTGAACCACCGCTGAAACATGCAGGACTGTTCTATCAGGTGCTATGGGACAGTTCCATTGGGTGGTACAGGCTGCACAGTGGAACAGTCATGCATGTACCACTGATGGTACAAGCCACTCAGGAGGACAGTCTTGCGTGTACCACCTGATTGTGAACATGTCAAATGCAAATAATCTTCATTCTTTCTGACTCTTGTGTATGCCCTGTGCAGGTCCATGATGAACCCAGAGAACCCTCCGCCATATCCAGGCCCAGGCCCAACGGCCCCATATCCACCTTATCCACAACCAGCAATCGGGCCTATGGGGGGGCCCTACCCACCTCCTCAGGGGTACCCCTACCAAGGATACCCACAGTATGGCTGGCAAGGTGGACCTCAGGAACCTCCTAAGACCACAGGTGGGTTCTGTGAATGTGTAGCTGTGTATATGTGTAGTCCCGTGTCACCAAAGGAAATGTTTGTATGGTTTCTTTGGCAGAGAAGAAACTGTCTGGCTTGTGGTTAATATTAGTGGTGATGGCTGAGGGTGGCTTCCCACTCGAGAGACCCAAGTCAGTTCTTCCGACTTCCTTCATTCTGTCCCCTCTGGGATTGATGACTTCCTGGCCAGCAGATTCTCAGAGGGCCACCCCTACAGCACTGGATGGTGGGAAGACAGCCCTGATTTAGCAGCCTATTTTGCATTTCAGGTTTCATCTGTTGGGGTTATTTTATCTGTCAACTTGTTGACCCCCCTCAGGTCATCTTGCCCTGTTATTGGGGCTGGTTTTCTTTACTAAGTACTTTCATAGTTTAACCTGCTATTTGAGTTTTTAGTCATCTTCTGAATTTCTTGTGTGCTAGAACAGTGCTACTCAGAGTTCAGTCTTGAGAAAAATGCCAGTCCATAAACAGTGCCTGTTTACTGGATGATGAAAAGTACAGAAAGTGAAAGTAAACATTTAGAAACTTTTAGAGCAGTTTGACATTCCTGTGACATTCAAGCATGTAATCTTTCCTTTTTCAAAAAGTGAAAGATTAAAAATAAAACATCTTGAGAAGCACTGTTGCTTAGCTGTCTTAGTGACTATTTTGTAACCCTTGGGTTTGCACAGTAACTTCTCTTTTATAGGTTTTTCCATGTTTTAAAACGGCTGATTCTTAATCAAGTGCCTATTATTTGCTAATGCAACCTTATATACATACACATTTAATCCTTGCAACAATTCTATGAGCTCATTCCCATCTCACAGTGAAGTAACTAAGGAATAATGATTACTATAAGGTTATTCAACTAGAAGCAGCACATTCCAGATTAGAATTCTGATAGTTTGTGTTATTAGTCAGTGTTTCATTGCTATGACCAAATACCTAAGAAAATCAATTTAAAGGAGGAAAGAAGGGTTCATTTTATCTCAAAAGTTTCTGGGTTCAATTTCTCTCAAAAGGTTTCTGTCTGTCTTTGCCTAGCTCCATTGCTCTTAGGCCTGTGATGAGGCAGAAGCATCATAGTGTGCAGGGGAAACCTGCTCACCTCATGGTAGCCAGAAAACAGAGAGTGAGAGAAAGAGCTAGAAGGAAAAGGCTGAGGAAAGATGTAGTACTCAGTTGCTTTGAAACACAATGAGTTTGGTACGATGCATTTTGATATGAAGATTTTTCCCATTTTTCCTCATTTATTTGGTACCTGCTGCACAACCTAGGATTTGTCAGTGTCATTTGCTGTGACCTGCTGCCTTTTCCAGCCCAAACGGTTTGCTTAGTCCTCACTGTTGTCTGTACTCATCATGCCTCCCTGAGTCAGTTAAGGAGCACCATGGTATCACTGTACTTGCGGCCACGTTCCCACAGCCCACTCTCTTTAGCTAGGCCCACCGCCTGATAGCCCATTCAGCCATGTTCATCCATGGGTTAATCCACTGGTAAGGTTAGCACTCAGAATCTGGTCATTCCCCCTCAGCACACCACGCCTTCAACAAGATGATTGTTTTCACAAAGGCAGCTGAAAGCTCTTGGACATTCCTTCCTACAGATATGCACAGGAATTTCTCTGTTATTAGTTTCTGAGTTATTAACTGCCTGGTCCCAGTCTGTACCCAAACATAGCAGGTGACATCAAATGGTAAATTTTTCTCTCATCTGAAGTCCAGGTCTTGTAAATAGGACCCCTTAGGGATGTAGGCTCCCTAAGGAATGAACCCTTGGGGGAAATGATTTTATTCCTTGCTCTTGGGATTATTTGGGGATCTCAGTCAGGATCATGTATTCCCCTTCAGTGTATTTGAGCTCTGTTTGGAAATTTACATTTTTTTTCTTCAGAAGAATGATTTTAGGTTCATCTACTGCTGCAGATTCTCCCTGCTAAAGTTCAAGTTTGTAGTACTTTCTGGCAATGGCTACACAGGTGGAAATGGTTTCTTTTTAAAAGAAGGGAGGATCTCCTTCAGCCTTACTTAATGATGTCTGATAATTAGTAAGAGCTCACTGCATGAATGGGTAGGTGGAGAAGATGGCTAATCTAAGCAGAACCTTCTTTGGTCATTGTTTATTACCCAAAGTTCATTTTTCAGATGTTATAGCCACAAAAACAAATCCAAACCAAACCCTTCCATTTGTCTTGGGTAACTATGTGACTGGAAGCAACAGATACTTGTGAGAGTAAGGCTTTCCAGAGGGCACACCTGAAGGTTATGTCAAGGATATCCTGGGCAGCTTTTAAAACTAACCACTACAACAATTAGTGTTTTTTGAGCACAGTGTTTGGAATTAGCCTTATGTCATTGTCACCACAACTTTGTAGTATCAGTCCCATGATACAGAGTTAGAAGCTGAGGCTCAGCAAGTTTGTTTCAGTTATGTACTGTATAACATATCACCCCAAAATTCAGTGGATTAAAATAATGATTAAAATAATTAAAATAATGAGCAATGATTTATTGCTCATGCCTTTCTGAGTTAGCAGGGAGGTTCCTCTGCTTCATGTGATCTACCCTGGGACCAACTGTGTGCCAACCATCAGCCCTTAGTATTACAGGTCTGAGCTCTGAGTGCCTGTGCCTCTTCAGCTCTTAGCATTACAGCTCCTGGTGGCTCTCAGATACCCTTAGCAGCTCCTTAGCACCTTGTGTTTATAGCCCCTTCCGTGGCTTTCTGGAGCTTTTCTAGTAGCTTCCAGTGACTCTCTGAGGCTCTCTATGGGTCACTGAAAATCTCTGCACATCACTACTGGTCTCCACCAGTCTGCACTGCTCTTAATTCTTTCCTGTTCCGCCACTCTTTGGAGCTCTTCAAAGGTAATAGACTTTAGTGTTACAGCTCCAAGAGCAACCCGCTTAGCCTGCTGTACCCAAGATAAGAATCTTGAATAGGCAGTAGAATTACCGGAATGAGGCTTTCATTGGGGCCTGGACTGTAGCACAGTGGGGTAGTGCATAGGAGGGAGTCCTGTGGGACTTATCCCAGGAGTGTGTGGGAATCCTGCAGATGTAGAGAAGAGTGGCTCACACATGTGCAGCTCATAATTTGCAGACCTATTTGGGGGCTTTTGAAGTAATGACCAAAGGGTGGGTGGAGGCATCTGAAGGGGTTGCGTGGCCATCATCCGGAGTAGCTGCAGGGCAGTCATCTGGAGTAGGTCCATGTTTCAGGCTTGCTGTGGCAAAAGCAGATCTCTCCCAAAGCAGCTAATGGGGCATCTAGGATAGCCTTGGCTGTTATGGTAACAGCTTTGCTGAGCTGTAGGAGAGGCTGTGGCTTGACTGCCAGTTTCTATGAAAATGGCAGGGGCTGAAATTGTGTCTTCTGCTGCTTTTGAGCAGTCTCCAGGAGGAGATGGAGTGTTGACCATGGCTCATGGGGATTCGGGGGCTTGGGTGACATCAGTAGTGGCCCCTAGTTCCTCAATGATCTTCGCCTTGTCAGATGCAGTCCTCCACGTCTCCTCACGGAGGCAGCAGCAGTGGCTCAGAGGTAGGGGATGGGGCTGTGCGGAAAGGCTGTCAGCCACACTGGATGCCCGGGCTGCCTGGAAGAAGCACGGAGGCAGCTGGCCTGGGCCACCCTGGGGAGGGGAGGGGAAAGTCAGACGATGCCCCTCTGGCTGTCAGAGGGAAAAGGGAAGGGTTGAGTTTCATTTCTCTATCTTGCTTTCAACAATTCACATCCCTCCCATGTGAAAAACATGCCACCTTCCAATAGCTACATCGGCTTAAAATCTGTCATTTAAGTAGTTTACATGTAGATCAGGTCTCTGACCTGCCTTGCTGGTCTGTGTGCCCTACCTCTGCTCTTCTGCACCTTCACTCCCCACCCTCTTCATCCCACTCTGTGTCACACGCTTCTGGAGAGTAAAATGGCATTTCCGTGAAGCTCACCTGTGGCATACTCCAGTAGAATTTGCCCCTGCCCTGTGCCTCACTTACACCCAGCACAGACTTCTTTAAAGCACCACCTCTCTCTCCAAATACAGTTAGTTTCCTTTTTATATTCAGTTTAGCATCTTATTGTCTGAATTCAGTCAGCCTGTTCTTACTATTGTGGTTTAGGCTTTCCACATTTTAAGGCTACAAGTGACAGAACCTCAGCCTTAAATATTTATTTTTATCTGAAAAAGAAAGGTTTATTTTCTACCATTGTTTAATATAGTACTTTTTAAAAATAGAAATATTATCTCAAGATTTGATATATGTACATAACATTTTAGTCATGTCTGTCACTCTTTCTGCCCTCCTTTACACCCTTATTCACCTCCTCTTGCCTAATGTTCGCATCCCTTCTACTTTCATGTGAGGGGAAACATGATGCTTGTCTTTCTAAATCGTGTTTAATATGATATCATAAGTTCAATCCATTTCTATGCAAATATCAGAAGTTCATTCTTCTTTATGGCTAATAGTCTATTGTGTGTATTTTATCTATTTTTAATTTTTTAAAAATTAGTAAATATTTGTCATACATAATGATCACATTCATCATAGGGAATTTGTACCTGTACATAATACATTCTAGTTTTTCTTTTTTCCCATCTCCCTCCCCTCCCTTCAGTCCTTTTTCCCTTTCCCATTTGAGCGTGTTCTTCCTTCTTCTCAATGTCTATCTTCCATTATGCTCCTTATTTACCTTTTGGGTTTCTTATACCAGAGAAATAATGTGGTATTTAAACTTGTGCGTTTTATTTATTTCACCTAAGATTATGGTCTCAAGGTGTATCCATTTACTAAAAACTACTCAAGTTTAGCTTTCTTTATGGCAGTATAGCACTCCATTGTATATAAATACCACATTTTCTTTATCCATTCATCTGTTGGTGGGGACATAGGCTGTTTCCAAGATTTTGCTATTATAGGTTGTGCTGCTACAAGCATGGGTGTGCATGTTTACCATGTGGTATCACTGTGGTGTGATGCTTTTAACTCTTTCA